GTTGCTGCCGCGATTCTTTCCTCGACAGAACTCAAGGATGGGCATTACAGCTCTTCAGCTTAATTCGAGATGCATGAACACACACCTACCAACAAGCTCACATCTAGCACCACCTTACAACATACTCACCATTGACACCAGAGATGACACCTTCAACAACAACAAGACAATACAACTCGGCACTTCCCCGCTGCTTTTTGCTACCGCGCCGCGCCGCGCCATAGCTACGATCACGACATGCATTTTCCGTGGCCCTACGCTCACACCACGCCACCACCATTACCTACCACACAACCTCAACCCACATGGCCGATGCCACAACCATCAACTGCACCCACTTTTCCCCCGACACAACCATCGGCATACCCTCACCCACAACCACAACCATTTCAACCACCACCGTTTTTGTCCAACCCTACCGCCACTGCACTGACCTACGGCACACCATCCACTTGGACTTTTGTCCAACCATGTCACGCGCCACCGCAGCCCACACATCCAACTCCAGTATTTCCGACAGCAGCACCTCCCCCTTCCTACCTGTTGCCACCACATCGTCCCACACCACCGGCTGAACTCCCTCCCCCCACTACACTGACACATCCCCTTCCAACACAGCAACAGACTGCGATTGCCAATCATCCATCCACAGACCCCCAATGCGCCATCCCCCAGGGCGTTTGGCAACCCTATTCAGCCTTTCCCCCCGTCACACAGCCTCCACTCCAACCGTTGCCCCCGCCACCGCCTCCACAAACCATCAACGCCTCAACACCAGCCCAACCTCCACTTCAACAGCAGCCACCATCGGATCCAACACCACCAATCCAATCCATCCCTACGACTGCCCAGGACAATCCATTACCAGTCCAAAACACGCCCCCACCAGCTACCGTATCCCAACATTCAGCATCCCCATCGCTGGTATCTGCCACACCAGCGCCTGGATCTTCACTACCAGCACCAGACAAACCTGACACCACTGCCTCACCAGCACCGCAACCACCTTCCCCGCAACCACCACACAGCAGTCGCCGCCACCACCACAAGAGCCGACGCAAGTCCGACCATCACCACAGAGGACGCCACCGCCACCGCCGCCGACATCACCATCACCGCCACTCCAAACATCACAGCACAACCCGGCGACGGCGGTCGCCTTCAACATCCACTTACACATCCAGCCTTACGCCATCCCGCAGTCGCTCGCCACCACAACCCATTGATCTACGCCCTAACACCGAACACTCCAACCCAGACCCCTCTCAATTTCCCACCACAGCCGTCCTCCGTCGCCCAATCAACCGTTGGCGACCTCCACCCAACTTTCACACCTTTACACCTGCAGACCAAATCCTGGAATGGCTCGAATTCCACGCCACCCAACTCGACAATCCCAACCGACCACAACACCAGTACATTGCCAATATCCTCACAGACTGCAACATCACCTACAAGGAGATCACCGATTTCCGACAATATACCCACGCCAAGTGGAACGACACAACTCACCAATACGACCAATTCCAGTACTACGCCATTTCACTTCCCTTCCTCAACACCAAAGCCACTACACCAGAGCCACCTGCGGTTTCCAGCGCCACATCAACCCACCGGGAAGTCGCCCACATCAACGCAGGCCACACAGGCCCCGTCGGCAACATTTCCAACATTCTACGCCAAGGCCGATTTTTACCCAGCACACTCCACTTTGCCAACTACCCTGGATTTTTTGCCCAGGGCGTTCGCATCACCCACAACCAACCCCATGACCACAACGAACTTGCCCGCATCATCCACAACACCTGGCAACTCCACAAGAATTCCCATTCCCTTATCATCACACTCCTTGCTTGGGGTGCTGCCACAAAATATACCTCTGGAGGTGAGGAACACGCCATGAACCTCCTTAACGACCACCATGGTGCAGTCTTTCATCAGAAGGGCCGCTGCTGGGTGATCCACCCGGACCACGCCATTGTCAAAGGACTGGCCTGGTCCACCAACTCCACTCCACCGGACCCATAACACCACTACCACACATCTACACACCACTACCACCTCCACATCCACTTTTGGTCTCACCCCACCACCCAACCTTTGCTGTAGCAGCAAAAAAGAGCCTCCTGCAGCGGCCACGCGAATTTTGAACCCTCAATTTTTCAAGCTCTGCAGTGTTTGCTGTAAACATCTTTCTTCGAATTGTACCGGCTGTTTTGATGGAGTATTTCACATGTCAGATTCTCATGTATTTGATTGTCCAACCGGCATTGCATATTCGCTCTTTTGCCTGTGGGAATTTGATGCTCGTTTAATTCATATGCACGGCCTCGTGATGACGCGCTCCCTCAGACTCGCCGCTGTCCGGCTGCTTTGGCGCGCTGCCGCATCAACCTGTGACGATTCTTAGCTACTGTACACCCCTACATCTCAGAATCATGAGCAGCACACCGACACCTCTACAAAACGACACCTCAACTCTCATACACAGAACCGCAGTGGCACTTTCGCAGGTGCAAAACCTGCTCCGACAAGCAACAGATATTGTAGCACACCTCCACACTGTTTTCCTCCACCACTGCCACCAAGCAGACCCCACTTTCCGCCAACACTTTCAGCCACTTCCAACTCCGCCCAACCACCCTATACGTTTACCATCTACCACCTCATCCTGTGACTCAGCACCATCCAGACCACCCAACCGTTTACCAGCACCACCCTCAAAAGACTCAGACGACACTCCAACAACACCCCCAGATCCACAACCCACCACCACACGCAAGCGGAAGCAACCACCCCCACCACCACTGAACCGACAGGCGGACTGGGATGCTTGGGACGGCGACGCTGACTGTCGCCTGGTCGAACTCAAAGAAAACCCCAAACTTCGTCCCAACTGGACCACTGTGGCTCGCCGAGTGGGCTTCTCCGTTGAGCAATGCCAAGCCCGATGGCAAGAACTCAAAGACATGCAACGTCAGCAGGACCAGCAACTCTTCTCCACACCACTACCAACCGCACCACCAAGACAAGCACCTTCCCCCTCACCAACACCCACATCACCAGCAGTTTCCCCAGCACCACATTCACAACCGGATTTCTCCCCTTCCCCCATAACAACGCCACCGACTTCACAACATCCAACGACTCCTGCTGCTGTGCTGCTGCCGCCGGCTGCTGAGCGGGACCTTAGTGAAGACAGTCATCCGGAGAAATCTCCACTTACGCCCGTGGTCAGTTATTTCATTTGACCCGTTTCACCCACCTTTCTTTACGGCGTGCCGCAGGACAAATCCACTGACCCGTACTGCCATTTGGTTTTTCACATCCAATCTACTTTCACCAGGTTGCCCAACTTCGATTTGTCAGTTTTCAGGCTCACTTCAGCTCCGCAGCCTTTTGTACGCCATTTTATTCCATCAATTGTCATGGCCAATCCTCGCGCTCGCCCTCATAGCAACCCTGCCGACACAGAACACTACCTCCCACAGCGCCCTCCGAGCTGGCTCCAACCTTCGATTAGCACTCAGCCCGATTTTCAATCCCTCAACGGCTCTTTGGACCTCCTCTTTCTGGTCAACCAACACCTCCGCCGTCACCCATTCCACACTGAACCTATGCCAAGCCAGACTTATTTTCAAGACCAGAGAGCAT